GAAAGGAGCAGGTGGAATAAATTTTTCTGGACTGGCCGCCGCCAGAGTAGGAATTGGGATGGATCAGTGCATGGAATGATCGTCTGAAACGGATTTCCCTCTGGTTTCCTGGAGCCAAAATGACCAAAACACGGCGATACCAGAGGCTATTGTGGCCGATACCAGGAATACCAGGGGAGTTGTGGGAGTTGTTGAGATGCAGTGGAGCCTCCGTAAGAAAAAGCGGGCCGGGCGAAGACCCAGCCTGTCATCCTGGATTGGCGGGCGTTGGGGATCCTCGGGAGGGTCAATCCAGAGTATGAGAGTATTTTAGTTCTTTTAGTTCCGCAGTATCTGCCCTACGCTGTAGCCTCAATACCACGCCCCCTAGAAACTACTAGGTAACTACCTACCGGTATGCAAAAGAATCTGTTGGGTACGTGGTCAATCTGTTGGCCATGGTCTCGTACGAAACCGGAAGCGATTGCAGCACGGTGGCCAGATGATTTCCCTAAGAATGGTACTCCGTAGAGAACCTTCATCGAAACATACTACTCCGTAGAAACATGGAGAGAATGACATGCTGTACGATGATGTAATCAATTTCCCTGGGTTCTCACGGCCACGCTTCTTTTTCCCCAGTTTCTTCAAAGTCCGCGCCGCGGTCGGTACCTGAGGCTGCCACTGACTCCGATAAGATAAGGAAAGGCTGCCGACTACGATGGAAATGAGGGGCAGAGCCGACAATTACGGAGTACGGAGTACTACTGCGTAAGTTACTGCACAAGCAACAACAATCATAGCAAACCTACGATCGACCCATCGGACTCAACGGTGCACTGTACATACCATCCCGAGTACTACTACGGAGTACTCACTGCCAAGTAGGCAGCTCCTCTTGCGATCAGATTCCAGATTCAATCTCCATCCTCCAATCCTTTACTTCCACCTCATACCGCTTGCTCAATCTTTCGGTGAGGGGAGACAAAACAAACGCAATGATCCCAGCCAACTTACAGGCCTCGTGCATACTCCGTAGTAGTCTACGTATCGGACCAGACCACCCCATCCCATCCCATCCCATCCCATCTCATCCATGTCCCTGGCCTCCAGTCTGCGGATCCCAGGCTCCACTCCGCTCTAACCCCAACCAGGCTACCAGCTCAATAATGCTAGCACCTGAAATGAACGAAATGAACCAAGGGAGTTTCGGAAGACGGAATGGGTATCGGTCGATTTCTCGATGGCGGTGCACTGTCGAGACAATCCGATGTTCCAATCATTGATTTTGGCGGGTTTCGCTTCGAACCCGCGGGATAGAAGATTCACGAGTACTTCAGATACTGACTGGAAACTCCGTACTTTGTCGCTATTGCTGACGGGATTACGGCGGGAAGTCGAAGTCCTGATGAAGGCGCGGTTGATACGAGTAAAGAGTAAAGAGGGATTCGCCTGATGCCATAAACTCCGTACTCCGTTCCTATCGTAGAAGACTCCGAGGAGGAGGAGGATGATGATGATAGTAGTGATGATTGCTCTGTCGCATTCCAACCCCGGCAGTCAATGATAACAGAGTCGCATTCTCGAAGTATTCCGGATCTGTCGAGTACCTATTCAAGTAGTGGATGACCCGATCATGGATTGCTGCGCAACTCGGGTTTCCCCAACTGAACGGCGGCGGCTGTTTGAGCCAGAAAGAGCCAGAGTTGACGGAGTGACGGTTCGAACCCGGCTTCCAGTACGGAACGTTACCAACTTTCCACCCCATTCATACCACCAGTGGTATTGTAAGTAATGGAGTTACGACACCAGTGCCCCATAATTCTTTACTCCCCCCCCCCCATCCCATCAAGCTCCCGATATCGTCCCCCTCCTCCTGCGCTTTATTTTTTTTATTTTAATTTTTTTTAGAAACTTGCATTTTTTTTTGTTTTTCACCCATCATCCGCCTCTTCCCCATCAGTCCATTCATCTGTCTCGCCGATTCTCGTTTCTCCATCTCCTTGATTGCATTACTCTCTTCCTGTTCCCTTCCCTTTTGTTCCCCTCCTCATCCTCCTCCGTCAGGTCGCGACATCTGGTGTGACTTCTCTCTCTCCTACTCCCTCCTTCCTCTATACCACTCATACCTACATATTAATATCCCTTCCTCTTCCTTAATTCTATTTCCCCATCAGTCCAAGCTCTGTTGACAGGTAAGCATCTCCCATCCATTGTCTCCAATGCCCGTCTATTCGACTCCCTCGATCTGGTTCCATCTCACCCACTATGCTATACCTATACCACAGTGCTGACCTACAGTCGAATTCGCAGAGTATCAGCCATCATGCCTAACGGTGCTCCTTTGATCAACACTGCCAACGGCGCCTCCGCCAACGACAACATCACCCGCTTCGACCCCCCCAGCCGTGTGCTTTCTCCCCTCAACCACACCCTCTTCCACAACAAGACGAGATGTTTCGTATAGTAAGTCCCACTTGATGGTTCATCCGTGGCTCGTCATTGACAACGGCCACAGTGGTATGCAGCCCCGGGCTGTCCAGGGTATGCTGGACTTCGACTTCATCTGCAAGCGTAGCACTCCCTCCGTCGCCGGTATCATCTACACTTTCGGTGGCCAGTTCGTCAGCAAGATGTACTGGGGTACCAGCGAGACTCTCCTCCCCGTCTACCAGGATGTCTCCAAGGCCATGGCCAAGCACCCCGACGTTGACACCGTCGTCAACTTCGCTTCTTCCCGTTCCGTCTACAGCTCTACCATGGAGCTCATGGAGTGCCCCCAGATCAAGAGCATTGCCATCATTGCTGAGGGTGTCCCCGAGAGAGTACGTTCGACTTGCTGAATCCGTATCATGTGGGCCATTGAGACTAACCGTGTGGTAGCGTGCTCGTGAGATCCTCGTCACTGCCAAGGAGAAGGGCATCACCATCATCGGCCCTGCTACCGTCGGTGGTATCAAGCCCGGTGCTTTCAAGATCGGTAACACTGGTGGTATGATGGACAACATTGTTGCCTCCAAGCTCTACCGCAAGGGTTCCGTCGGTTACGTCTCCAAGTCCGGTGGTATGTCCAACGAGTTGAACAACATCATCTCCCAGAACACCGACGGTGTCTACGAGGGTGTGGCCATTGGTGGTGACCGTTACCCCGGTACCACTTTCATCGACCACCTTCTCCGTTACCAGGCCGAGCCTGAGTGCAAGATCCTCGTCCTCCTTGGTGAGGTCGGTGGTGTTGAGGAGTACCGTGTCATCGAGGCCGTCAAGAACGGCACCATCACCAAGCCCATTGTCGCCTGGGCCATCGGTACCTGCGCCAGCATGTTCAAGACCGAGGTTCAGTTCGGTCACGCCGGTGCTTCCGCCAACTCCGACCTGGAGACCGCCGTCGCCAAGAACAAGGCCATGCGTGAGGCCGGCATCCACGTCCCCGAGACCTTCGAGGAGCTTCCCCAGACTCTTGCCCAGGTCTACAACGAGCAGGTCCAGAAGGGCGTCATTGTGCCCCAGAAGGAGCCCGTTCCCCCCAAGATCCCCATTGACTACTCCTGGGCTCAGGAGCTCGGTCTCATCCGTAAGCCCGCTGCTTTCATCTCCACCATCTCCGACGACCGTGGCCAGGAGCTCCTGTACGCTGGTATGCCCATCTCCGATGTCTTCAAGGAGGACATTGGTATCGGTGGTGTCATGTCCCTCCTTTGGTTCCGTCGCCGCCTGCCTGCCTACGCCAGCAAGTTCTTGGAGATGGTTCTCATGCTTACTGCCGATCACGGTCCTGCCGTCTCTGGTGCCATGAACACCATCATCACCACCCGTGCTGGTAAGGACCTGATCAGTGCCCTGGTCTCTGGTCTCCTGACCATTGGTTCCCGCTTCGGTGGTGCCCTGGACGGTGCTGCTGAGGAGTTCACCAAGGCCTTCGACAAGGGCATGAGCCCCCGTGACTTCGTCGACACCATGCGCAAGGAGAACAAGCTGAGTATGTGAACCATTGTTTCGTGCATTGCAGAATGAATTATGTACTGACTGCCTTTAGTCCCCGGTATTGGTCACCGCATCAAGTCCCGCAACAACCCCGATCTCCGTGTCGAGCTGGTCAAGGAGTACGTCAAGAAGAACTTCCCCAGCACCAAGCTCCTCGACTACGCCCTCGCCGTCGAGAGCGTCACCACCTCCAAGAAGGACAACCTGATCCTCAACGTCGACGGCTGCATTGCTGTCTGCTTCGTTGATCTCATGCGCCACTGCGGTGCCTTCTCCCCCGAGGAGACCGAGGACTACATGAAGATGGGTGTCCTCAACGGTCTCTTCGTCCTTGGTCGCTCGATCGGTCTCATTGCCCACTACCTCGACCAGAAGAGACTGCGCACCGGTCTCTACCGCCACCCCTGGGACGACATCACCTACCTCCTCCCCGCCCTCCAGAAGGGTGGCTCGGAAGGCCGTGTTGAGGTCACCGTCTAATTTCCTACCATCCCTTTTTAATATACTTGCATTTCATGACCTAGTCATAAAATCCGTCCCAGCTGACGTCGGAGTTATGATGGCTTGTTTTTCTTTTTTCTGCATTGGCTTGGTTCACTTCATACCTCTTCCTTTCCAACTTACAATCTGTAGTGGCACGTGTGGCATGACTAGCTGATAAGGTTGATGAATTTTACGCGATGATTCAGACAAGGTGCTTTTCATAGAATAATCAATCGTAAATTATGATTCTGAAATGATTTTTGAACGATGCTTTGACCCGAACATATAAAATTCAATCCTAAAATGAACATTACCCAGATAATCCAACAGCTAAATGCATCTTCGATGGTGGTTATCTTGGCGGGGACAGGAGCCCGGCGCCCCACATGCCTGGCCGAGCATATCCGGCAGAAAATCAATACCATCACCGCCAACAGGTTCATCGCCGGTCCAGCGCTCAACCATAGCTTCGAGGTTTTGGACGCGCAAGAAACCTCAATCCCACTGAACAATCAAAGAGGTCCGCTGTCGAAGTCGAGCACAACACTACGCGACCTCAACCCCGTCCAATCTACTTAACCTCACACACTCCAACCTCTACCACACTTGAATATCCACCGATCTCTTCCACCTCAAACCCCCATCCCGCTACCACCGCACCAAAATGGTCCGCATCAAACACCGCTACCTCCTCCTCGACATCCTCTACCCGGACCCGACCACCTGGCCCCGTCGTCACCCGCCCGCCTCTACATCCTCCTCGTCCTCGTCAACGATCCCGCAACTCCAGATCCACGCGCCCACCTCCGACGCCCTGACGCCGAGCCTGCTGGCTAAACTGGTCCGCGAACAGGTCGCCGAGTTATTCGGCGATTGGGGCGTCGGCCGGCTGGGCGGGGCTGGTGCCGGCGGTGTTAGTGGTATGTCTCCCCCCCCTCTTTTCTTTCTTGGTTGTGATGGTGTTCGTGGGAGGGGGATTTGCTATGCTCCAAGCTAACCGTGTGTCTCTCTGTGTGTGCGGCAGTCAAATACCTTTCCCCGGCTACATCGACGGCGATCATCCGGTGTCCCCGCGCGTCGTTCCGGTTGGTGTGGACGGCGTTGACGTGTTTGGAGGCCGTGCCTGAAGTTGATCAAGCTGGAGGAGGACGGAATCCGGCGCTGACGAGACGGTGTGTTGTGCGCGTTGTGCGGGTGTCTGGGACGATGCGGAAGGCCGAGGAGGAGGCGATTCGGCGGGCGAGGAGGGAGGTTTTGAAGGTGCGTGGGGGTGGTGCTTTTGGTGCTGGTGCTGCTGATGATGATGGGGTTTTGGAGGGGTTGGTGGGCGGGTTTGCGGAGGGGGTCTTAGGCGGTGTTGAGGTGGATGATGTTATGGAGGAGGGTTTGAGTGATGATGGGTTGTGAGGGTGTGAGTGCTGTGCTTTTGTGGAGGTGGGGAACTGTGTTGTGCTGTACCTTGGCTTGCGGTTTTGATATATTAGAGATACCCTTATTATACAATGTAGAGATATATTTTTTTGGAAACACCGAAGAAAATGTCATGACTTTCGTATCACCTTCACCCCGCTGTTCGGTATCGAGCCTCGGCCCAGATCGCCGTATTCATCGTCGTCGTCTTCGTCGCCCGGGTGGTCTCCTCCTGCCGCCTGCTCGCGCGCTTTCGCCTCCGCCTCCAGTTGCTGGAGCTCATGCTCGTCGTACTGCTCCTTCGCGTCCAGCCACCGCTCCTGCACATCCCGCACATCCATCTGACCCAGCCCCTCCCGCACCGCCACCTGCCAGACGGTGTCGTTGGCGCCCTCGGCGGGCCCGAACACATACCCGCTGGCGCGGTCGATGGCATGCAGCAGGTTCATCATGCTCTTCTTGTCCTCGACGGCGAGCGTCTCGAAGGCGACGAGCCCGAACTCCTCGACCAGGTCGACGATGGCCTGGTTGAGCGGGCCGAACTTCTCGTGCGCCAGGCGCGACGACTCGGCCTCCAGGTGCGGCAGCAGGTAGCTGAGGTCCTGCACCTCGGTGTAGTAGTCCAGGTTGAAGGGTAAGGGGGCGTAGTTGGCCAGGTTGTCGATCTTGGTGAGCACGTTCAGGTGCGGGAGGTCCATCTGCAGCATGGCGCGCAGCGAGAGGAGGAGGGCGGAGATGTACATCGAGGGGAGGGTAAGGTTGTAGGAGTCGATGAGATGGATCACGATCATCTAGTTTGCGCTCATGTTAGTTTTTGGAAGTAGACTCGCATGGAGTGGGAATCGCGGCGCATACTCTATACCCCAGTTTCTGGATCTTGAAGAATATATTGCGCAGGGAGGAGTGGTGTGTGAAGATCTCGACTTGGCCGGGGCAGTCGAATAGAACGTAGTCATCTACATGTTTGAGGATACCAGTATCAGTACATTTGTGTCTCTATAGTAGGTTTTGCCTTGGGCTTGGTAGATCGGGATGGCGCGCATACCTCCGAGCTCCTTCAGCCCCTCCTCGAGGAAATCGAAGTTCTCCTCCAGCTCCTCCAGCGCATACAGCACGCCCCCATTCGGTCCCAGTTGGTCCTCGCTCATGATCTCCTCCAACGTCACCAGGTCGCGGACGTCCAGCGCGCACGGATACGAGGTCTGGTCGTTCGCGGGGTCCAGGTTCACGATCGAGCACTTGCGGCCGATGGCCCCGAGGAACTGCTGCATGCCGTTGCAGTAGGTCGACTTCCCGGCCCCTGGGGGCCCGATCACCAGCTGTGCGAACGGCATGATTGCTTTCTCTCTGACAGCTTGTCCCCAAAAGATTTATTGATGACAATCGAAACCGTGATGATGCAAATGGCGGGGGAGAATATTCCATGGAGGGCGGTCAGTGGCGACAGAAAACGGATCTGAAGGCGCCGCCGGGCGACGGAGCTTCGATGACGCCGGGACCGATCAACAAACGGTTATTTCGTTCGAAAGCTTTGAAATTCCTCGGCCAAGGGAATTTACAGAAATAATCATGGCATCTAGTCAGTTTGCATCTCTCTGGGCTAACTGGGGTTCTGGGACAGCTCGTGCTAACTAGCCTGCAGATCAATTCGTCGTCGCGTCCCCGCCTACGGATGCTATATCCGCGCTCAAGTTCTCGCCCAACCCCGACTCCACGCGCATCGTTGTCTCGTCGTGGGACAAGAATGTCTACCTGTACGATCTCCGGGACGAGAATGGGGCGGTAGGGGAGGGCAAATTGCTGCAGAAGTTCGAGCATCGCGCGCCGGTGCTGGATGTGTGCTTTGGCGCAACGGAGGATGAGATCTACACGGCCGGGCTGGATTGGGATGTGCGGAAGTGAGTCAGGCCTTTTGTTTGGATTTTGAGAATGATGCTGGTGCTACTTCGTTGACGCGGGCTTCCCATCTTGCCCTATTCAGGTTTACTGACGACCGAACAGAATCGACGTCGCCTCGTCCACGCAGACCGTCCTCAGCACGCACGAGGCCGGTGTCCGCAGCGTCGTCTACAGCCGGGACCACCACCTCGTAATATCGGCCTCGTGGGACTGCACGCTGCATGTGCACCTGACCAACGACCCCGCCACGCTCCCCGCCGTCATCCCGCTCCCCTCCAAGCCGTTCTCCATGTCGCTGACGGCCACGAAACTCGTCGTCGCCATGGCGTCGCGCGCGCTGCACATCTACGACCTAAAGGCGCTGGCCCTCCTCACCGCCCAGTCGGAGGGCTCGGCCCCCGGCGCGCTGAACAAGGTGGAGGTCGAGCCCTGGCAGCGCCGCGAGAGCAGCCTGAAGTTCATGACCCGGTGCGTTGCCTGCATGCCCGACGACGCCGGCTACGCCTCCTCCAGCATCGAGGGCCGCGTCGCCGTCGAGTGGTTCGACCCCTCCGCCGAGTCCCAGGCCCGCAAGTACGCCTTCAAGTGCCACCGCCAGACCGCCGACGAGGTCGACATCGTCTACCCCGTCAACACCCTCGCCTTCCACCCCGTGCACGGCACGTTTGCCTCCGGCGGCGGCGACGGCGTCGTCGCCCTGTGGGACGGCATGGCCAAGCGCAGAATCCGCCAGTACCAGAAGCTGCCGTCCAGCGTGGCCGCCGTGGACTTCAGCGCCAACGGCAAGTACCTTGCCATTGCCATCAGCCCGGGCTTCGAGGATGGCAAGGAGGACGTGGCCGAGGGAACGGTCAAGATCTTCGTGCGCGAGCTGGGTGAGACGGAGGCCAAGGGCAAGGGTGCTAAATAAATCCACCTTACCTTACGCTTAAAACCTAAATCATGAAATCTATATCCTGTGATGACTGCACGCTGAGTCCACCTCCAACAACAACCCCGTCTCGGGGTTGTACAGTTACTGGAGACTAGTCAGGTAAACGTAAAGTAGTCAACGATGCTAAATGTTCAAGTGGTATCATTTTATATCTTATCAATGGAGTAAATCGTCATACATGGGATTTTTTACAGAAATCCACTCATGCGGCCGCCTTCCTGACGGAGACAGAACCGTCCGGCATCCCGAAGTAGGCGGCAATGGGCTTCTGCCCGCCAACGCCGCCCAGGGCCCGGGCCTGCGGGCCCGTCAGGCCAGAGAAGATCCCGACGTCCAGGACACCGGGGATCTGCTTGATCGCTCGCGACAGGGCCTCGACCTCCCAGATGCCGTCCTTCCCGCTGCCTTCCTTGCCGGCCGCGACGTCGGACTGCGTCAACAGCGTCGGGAAGGGGGCGTCGATGATGTAGAACGCCTGGTCAGTCTTCAAAGGGCCTTGCTTGGGGTCGGTGTTCAGCCGGAGCGCGGGCTGGATGCTGCCGATCTCGCGGAGGGCCGTGAGGACGCGAGCGGCGGCGATCGGGGCGACTTCGATGGGGATGTACTTCCAGTTGGACAGGAGGCGCGATTGGAGTTTGCGGGAGTCTGCGCGCGAGGGAAAAACACACATGAAGTCAGTGATTTGTGGCATCATCCATACGGGGTGGGTGTTTTCAAAGGGAAGGAAGGAAGGAAGGAAGGAAGGAAGGAAGGAAGGAAGGAAAGGGGAACGACGCACCAGCAACGCAGATGAACTCCTTGGCCTGCAGAGCCACGATCTTCTCCTGGAAGAGACAAGCCCCGCCGCCCTTGATCAGGTTGAGATCGTCGTCCACCTCGTCGGCGCCGTCGAAGGCCACGTCCAGCACCGTGCCTTCCGGGAGTGAGTCGAAGTCGACGGCCGTCAGCCCGGCCGACAGGATCAGCTGCTTGGACTGGAAGCCCGTAGGCACGTATTTGGTCGCCGAGGTGTCGACCCCGGACTCCTTGATGGCCTCGACCACGTAGACGATGGTCGACCCGCTGCCGATGCCGACGAACTTGGCGTCCTTGGGGTAGTGGTTCTCCACGGCCGCCTTGCCGGCGGCGCGCTTTGCGGCTTCGATGACGCTGACGCTGGCCATGGTGGAGTTCCGGCGATGCGAAGACGCGAAAAGGACGGTTGAGATGGGAGGAGGTGGGAAGGGACGGATGAGGCGTCGTCTGGATTGATAACAAGGATGTTTGAGCAGCGCAGAAAGAGAAGAAGTCGACCGGGTTCTGCAATTCGTATTAATAGTCCGGGCTAGACGGAGGACTCGGGAGGGGCTTAAAACTGCCAGATCGGGGGAGGGGAGGAAGAAAGAGGCTAGGTACTGCGGAATACGGACTGGACGGACCAGTGGTGCCCGCCGCCGGTGGGGTGGATGGAAAGGGCACTGCGGCCAGCATAAGGTAGAACTTTTTGAGAGCTGCCAATTGATGCGCCACTCACAGAATATTGTTGAGACTGCCCCGAGGAACTAACCCCGCCATACTAGCTGCCAACTGACACCTCTAAAGCTGGCAATGTTGTTCAATGGTGGCGTTGAGTCTGTTCTATTTATTGCAGACGAGTAACTAAGGTATTGTTATGGAGAGGGACATTTTGGCCCGGCGGGGTTGTGTTTCGTCATAGTCGTTTGTGCCTCAGGTGTAAAACCCTCCTGCCTGATCCGTGCGTGCATTCATCACGTGTCAGCGCTGAGCAAGTGCTCCCAACCACTGCCATTAATGAACTACCTAGTAGTACACATCACACATCACACATCACCAGCTAGAGCCAGACTACAGAAGACCTCAGTGTTGGCTCTTAGATCTCCGATTCACAGAGGCTTGGTTGATACAGCTCGAGCCTCTCACCGCCTCTACAAGCTCGACTCAACTCAGCATTTTGTGAGCATTGTGAGCCGATCTGCTCCGCTTATCAGACGATAGCCCCTCATGACTGAAGCTTTCCCCGGTGCCCTGGTAGGGCCATCATCCAAGGAGAGGAAATACGACCGGCAACTGCGGCTCTGGGCTGCAAGTGGCCAACAAGCGCTCGAGGAAGCACGTGTACTTCTAGTCAACTCCGATGGCCCATGGGGTAAACAGAGCACCGGCGTCTCGGGGGTAGTTGGAGTGGAGACCCTCAAGAACCTCGTGCTTCCTGGCATTGGCGGCTTCACCATCGTGGACCCTGCAGTGGTAACGGAGCCTGACCTTGGGGTCAACTTCTTCCTCGAGGAGGACAGTCTAGGGAAGTCTCGAGCCCAGGAGACTTGTCGCTTGCTGAAAGAACTAAACCCCGACGTAGAAGGAAACTCTGAAACCAAGGTATATTGCACCTGTAAGAAGCTTCCTATTCTCTCATGGTCCCAGTGCTAACGGCAATCACCCGGCAGCCGGTCACCGAGCTTCTGCAAGACCCTGAATTCCTACCACAATTCAAACTGGTTCTGGTCTCAGGCCCGGCAAACAAGTCCACTCTGATCACTCTCAGCAGTGCTGCCAAAGCTCTTGGCATCCCCGTCCTGTATACGCGCTCAGTGGGTTTCTACTCCACCTTTTCTCTCCAGCTTCCGGCTGTTTTCCCCATAGTAGAGACACATCCGGACCCCGAAAGCACGCAGGATCTACGCTTGCTCAACCCCTGGCCTGAACTGGCAGCTACTCTGGCTAGCATTAGTAATCTAGAGACTCTGGACGATCATCAACATGGTCATGTACCTTACATCTTACTCTTGCTTCACTATCTGGAAAAGTGGAAGGAGACCCACGACGGAAATGTCCCTTCCAACTACAAAGAGAAAACTGCATTCAGAGATCTAGTGCGGTCTGGCGCACGGACGGCCAATCCTGAAGGTGGCGAGGAAAATTATGATGAGGCCGTGGCCGCAGTCCTGAAGTCACTGAACCCTTTCACTTTGCGGAGTTCAATCCGCGAGATCTTCGAGATGGACGAGTGCAACAATCTGACCTCGGAAACGGCGAATTTCTGGCTCATCGCATCAGCTATCCGTGAATTCTACATGAAACACAACGTACTCCCGCTGCCAGGCTCGTTGCCTGACATGAAAGCACAGTCAGCCGACTACGTGTCGCTACAGAACATTTACAAGTCGAAGGCACGAAAAGATATGGCAGAGGTCATTGAAGTCGTTCGGAGGCTTGAAGCAGAACTCAGCCCCCGGCCTGCGCAGATCGCGGACAAGGATATTGAAGTCTTCTGTAAGAATGCGGCTCATATCAAGGTCATCCATGGTCGTGACCTTCCTCAATTGAACGGTGAGAAGTACACTGTGAAAGCCATCAACAATGCTCTGGGTGACCCTGAGTCACTGGTATCTGCTTTCCTCGGCTTCGATATTCTTGATAGTATAATCACCGACATACAGAGCGGCAAGCAAAACGAGGAAGCGTTGGATTCCGCCCTCGCGTGGGAGGCAGGAGTGGATCGGGTGATTCAGTCCCTTACGTTGGAGGCGTCGGCGGCCATCAACGAGGAGACCAAACAGCGAATTGTTCAGAGAACTCAAGAGCTTCGGCGAACGCAAGGCGGTGAATTGCACAATGTGTCTGCCCTCACAGGAGGGCTAGTCGCACAGGAGGCCCTCAAGGTTATAACCAGGCAGTATGTTCCCTTGGACAACACCTGTGTATTTGATGGGATTAAAAGCCGCAGCGAGATGTATAGACTTTGAACACCCCTTGTCAACCCTTGACAAGAGTCAATGCTATGGAATGAGACCACGAATAGCCTTTTATCCTGTCATTTACCGGCGCGGCCGCGCGTATAAGATGTCAAGAGCATAAGCCAGCGAGTCGGCCAAGTCGGCCAAGTCGGCCAAGGCCAGTTCACTTCAAAATGTCGACTCCGTAGTGGTGGAAGGAGCCGGACGAATCCTGATTATTATACTTCAAACATTCCTCCACGACTCCAGGCACAAAGGCCGAGCCTCGCGGATTCCCGCCATCATATTATCAGTTCTCCCCCTTGCAGACACTCCTTGATTGATCAACATGAGACCTGTATCTCCTGACATCCACTTTAGATTCTCATTTCCCTCCGTCTGTTTCACTCTCGCTCTTTTTCTCCGTCTAGGTGTACGCTCAGGACGATTCGAAGAAAAAAAGAAGAAAACGGTTGTTCTTACGTCATTCAATTGAAGGAGATTCTGAATAGATGTTTGTCTCAAATCGAGAACAGACATTAACAAAATGGTGCGGGATCTGTGTGGTTTGTGGTCAAACCAGGCGCAGCAGCAACCACCCAGATTTCTCAAGTGGAGGACCTCCGATGCGTTCATCTGCTTCGTGGTTTGCTTCGCCGTCTTCACGGTACAGGACATCATCCAACCGATTTCTGGTTATGTTTGCTGACGGTTGGCCTTTTGACAGGATGTCTTCATGTATGGGTTGGTACGCTTGGGCTCCGGGGCATTAGTGGCGGGAATTTCCCCGACAGCTTATATTGACCTTCCTCGCAGATTGTGCCCGTGGCCCCAACGGCCCTGCGTGATAGAGTTGGGATGTCCGACGCCGATGGTATGTTTTTTATGGTTATTCGACGAATTGCTCCAGCTTACCGTGACTCAGTTCAATCGTGGCAATCGACCTTGCTGTCTCTTTACGGAGTATCTTTGTTAGCAGTTTCACGTGGGTTTCTCCAATTTTTGAGCCATTGTACGATACATACCGACTGATTTCCTCTTAGCCATCTGTGGGTACCTGGCCGATAAATTCCAGTCGCGATGGTGGCCCTTTATTGGGGGACTGGTGGTTCTCGCCGCCGCCACTGCTCTTCTTTGCGTAGGGACGAATCTTGCTTTATGGATTGTCGGGCGTCTCTTTCAAGGAGCATCTGCCGCGGTTGTGTGGACTGTGGGAATTGCGCTTCTCGTTGATACAGTCGGGCAGGAATATCTGGGCCAAGCGTTGGGATATCTGGGAATGGCGATGACCATAGGAACAATGACTGGCCCGCTCCTGGGAGGAGTCGTCTACGGTGCCGGGGGCTACTATGCTGTTTTCGGGATGTCGTTTGGCATAATCGCATTGGATGTCATCTTTCGACTCGCCATGATCGAGAGGAAGGACGCACTCAAGTGGCTGCAGGCCGATGGCCGACCGATTGTCCCGGCAGAGAAGCAAGGAAGTGGCAGCGACTTGGAAACTGCTGTTTCGCCGGCAGCCTCCGAGGGCCTGAAAGGTCCCCCGCACGACTGCCACGAGCAGGAGCGCTCCTCCTCCTCCGCCTCGACCGACGTTGGATCTGCGAAGAAACGGCCCAGTACCATGCATACACTCCTGACCTCGGGCCGCATGATGACGAGCATGTGGGCGTATTTCATCCTCTCCCTCGCCCTGACGTCCTTCGACAGCGTGCTGCCGCTGTTTGTCGAGCAGAAGTTCGGCTGGGGCCAAACCGGCCAAGGGCTCATCTTCATCGCGATCTCCGTGCCGCAGATCCTCGACCCCGTGGTGGGGTACATCATCGACAACTACGGCCAGACTCGACGGTACATGGCGACCGGGGGGTTTCTTGTGGCGGTGCCGGCTTTGGCCTGTCTTCGCTTTGTGACCGAGAACACGGTGGGCCACAAAGTGCTCTTGTGTGCGCTGCTTGTCCTAATCGGGGTCTGCGTGTGTCTGATCATGTCCCCGGTTCTGGTGGAGGCGACCTACTACGTGCAGGGCCGGGAGGCGGAGACGCCCGGGATTTTCGGGGAGGGAGGGGCCATTGCGTTTGCGTACGGGGTCATCAACATGGCGTACGCGGTGGGGACGATCATCGGGCCCTTTTTCGCGGGCTTCATCAAGAACGATGCCGGTTGGAGCACGATGAGTTGGGCGTTGGCCTTGATGTCCGGGGTGACTGGCATTCCTACCTATATTTGCCTGCGGGGCACAGTGCGCGACGGGGCTTCTTCCAAGGTCGAGTCGCCCTGATCCAGAGGGCAATGGTGATTTCGTGCAGTGGTGGGAAGGAAATGTGATATTTTGGGCGGTGTTTTGGGAGTTGATGCCTTATATGACTAAATACGAATCAGCTAGATTGGCTTGACTAAACTTGATATAATGATAACTACTCACAGTGAAAATAAGATAGGCAGATGATCGCCGATGTTAGGGGTGCTGTAGTGCTGCGCCTGCTCTGCTCCCATTGCCTGTGACGAGGGATAAGGTGTGTAAGCTGGAGTAGTTGCGAGAAGTTACTGACAGTCTACTGAGACCTCGAGACCTCCGGACCCTCCGTCCTTTCCAGCGGAAGGAATCTGCCCCGGCGGGAGGGGGTGGTGGAGGGTGGATCTCCCCGCAAACCGGACCCACCACTGCACCTGCACCACCGGCACAATAATCTAAACATCAGCCGGACTAGAGGGAGACAAGGTAGGTAGGTCCTGTACCAGACACAGCAAAATGAACGGTACGGTACATAAAGCTCCCTACTGATGGCTACTAGTCCAGCCCGTCTCCCTCTTTTCTCCCCCATCCCTTCTACTGTGCCATCACCATTAATCTCCCCGGTCTCCGATTACCATGGCACCTCCACAGATCCACCACGCCAGCCTCCAAGCCACATTCAACGGTATCGAACGAGAAATTGACGGTGTCCCCGTTCACGAGTTCCGCGGTATCAAGTATGCCGGCATCCCCGCGCGGTTCGAGCAAGCGCAGCCGGTGGAGAGCTTCGATGGCGCTGCCGTTGACGCTACGCGATACGGGTACTATTCTCTTTCCCTGCCCCTTTACTGTCTGTCTATACATGTTCCTGTTCCCAGCTAAGATAGCGATTCCCAGCCCGAGATGTCCGCAGGCCGATGTCGACGTCCGACATCTCCTCCGCATCCCCGAGGATTTTGTGATCGAGAAAGAACCCGAGGATGAGTTTGAATGCCTGAACTTGAACATCACCGGGCCCCCTTTGGCTGCGTCTAAGGGACCGCTTCCGGTTCTGCTGTGGATTTATGGTAGGTGGCTTTTGCGACACAGAGGGAATTTCTCCTGGGGTTGGGAGAGGGGTCGGTCACTGATCGTGATGCTGTTCTACAGGCGGGTCACAGGCTGTGACGTTCTGTTCTGCGGCGTCGAAGATTTGCGGTAAGTTTTCTGGTGTCAGACTGGGCTCCAGCTGTGGATGGTCACTGACTACGTGGGGCGAGGGGATTCAGATCCGATCCAGATTGTGGGTGACTCTATCAAGAGTGATAAGCCTGTTCTCTTTGTGTCGTGTAATTATCGGCTCAATATTTTCGGGTTCGCCGATGGGAAGGAGAAGAATCTCGCGCTCAAAGACCAGAAGTTGGCGATCGAATGGGTGCGGAGGAATATTGCTGCCTTCGGGGGTGATCCGGTATGTGCCTGGGAGGTCTGGTTTACATGAGAGAAGATTGTCGTTGATTTTCTCATGATCTAGGAAAACATTACGCTGGCTGGAGAGAGTGCTGGTGCGGTCTATGTGCACGCCCATCTGCTCACTGGCACTCCGGTGAAACGAGCGGTCCTCGCATCGGGATCCATCTATCTCTCCAGTCCTCTGCCTTTGGAGAAGGGCCAGGGGCTGATTGCGACGCTGGAGGCCAAAGTCAAAGATCTGGGCCAGCCTTCTCTCCGTCACGCTTCGGTGGCGGCCATTGTCCAGGCCATAGAGGAGTGCAAGATAAACTCGTTCTGGCTCCAAGAAGACGAGAACTTTGACGGGTGGGAGGCGACGCCTGAGCTGGTGGAGGAAGTCATGATTGGAGATACAGAATACGAGGTAAGCGCTACAACTGTGGTATTGAGTTTTGACTGACCGCAACACAGTCGGTCATCTGGAGGAACGGCATTGAGACGCTCGATGGGTCAACAATCGCGGCTGCTTTCGAGCAAGATCCCGCTTGGGGAAAGAAGCTGCGCAAACTGTACCAGGTCGTGGCCGATCGCCCGACAGCTTGTAAATTGGGAGCGCTGGATTTACTCCACGACACGCGTTACTCCCTGCCGGTGGAGGTCGTCTCCGACAAGCTCCAAGCGGCCGGCAAACGGGTCTACAAGTATGTCATCGACCAGGTCAACCCTTGGCAGGCGTCTAGCCGAGCGCACCATGCCGTGGACCTTCTGTTCTTGTTTGGGGGCATTGATCTCTCGTTCAACCGCGCGGCTGAAACCGTTGGTCGAGAGATGAGGGAGCGGTGGATACGCTTTGCAAATGGCAGACAGCCATGGTCCGAGGCACGACGCTTCGCCTTTGGACCGCTTGGAGAATGTCAGGAGATCAATGAGGCGCAATTCGCTGCCCGACGACGGGTGGAGCATTTGCGGGTGTTGCGAGAGGCCGGTATGGGGGTGTACATGCCCGTTGTGTTTGGAGTGTCGGCAGGGAAGATTAGTCTCATGAATTGAAGTTGATGATGATGTAGGGTGTATACTCAGTAGTACGGAGTACTCATAGAAAAAGAGGAGATGCGAGGCGAGCCCGGCAATTCTGGGCTGTTTTTTGATCCGAGATGGTGTTTTCCCCCACTGTTACTCAGATCTTACTCATGTGGGGTCCCTCCACAAATGATCCCCAGCTTCCCTTCCACCTCCTCCTCTTCGGCAACAATCCTCCCTCGCGACATGCCGAACTCCATCTCTTGCCTGCTTGTGGCCTCACTACCTCCAGGTCCTCGCGCTCAGCTCAGCCAGCCACCCTGTCAACTTCACGCTCTGGTTTCCGGGATAGCCGGTGGTCTCAATAATTCGTTCATTGTTCATTCCTGCCGTGGCGCGGCCTTGACCCCACAAACTGAAGTATATCAGGATGGCACGACGCCGGGGGTCCATGCCTAACAACTTGGCATTCAATCTTCCAACTCCATAGCAACGAATTATCTCTCCGATTCCTCGATCCTCGTTCTGTCTGTTCTGAACCTCATCATCCCAACATGCCTTCCACAAGCGATCTATCAGATCCCCAAGAATACCAGAAGATATTCCACTGGGCAGAGACGCAAAAGGACGGCACGATCCCGTCGTTCAACACGCGACGGAATGATCCTTATGAGGTATGTCGCTACGCGGACACAGTGTAGTCGTGCTAGCTCAACGCTAATCCATCCATAGTACCAAGCCGGGTTTGGCAACTCGTATGTTCAACTGTCTTCCCGCATCAGCAATTCAACAAGCTGATATAGCATACAGATTCGTCTCGGAGGCTGTCCCTGGCACCATCCCACAGGGCCAGAACAGTCCCCGCAACGTCCGCTTTGGGCTGTATGCGGAGCAGATCACGGCCAGCGCCTTCATCGCCCCCCGACACTGCAACAAGAAGGCCTGGCTGTATCGTGCGCGGCCGGCCGTGGCACACCAGGGATTCGTGCGTAGAGCGAAAGCGTTGACAGATGAGACCACAGACTGACGCACCAGTCAGACCAATCTCCCCGACAACAAAGACACAGAGGCGAACTTCCTCCCCATGAACCCCCGCGTCCACGTGTCGCCCACCCAGCTGGCCTGGTTCCCCTTCGACATTCCCAGCACCGAGCAAGTGGACTTCATTAACGGACTGAAGACCGTGGCCGGCTCGGGCGAGCCCACCCTCCGCGAGGGGCTGGCCACGCACGTCTACACGGCGAATGCCAACATGACGAAGAAGGCCTTTGTCAACTCCGACGGGGAGATGGTGATACTGCCCCAACAGGGCGCTCTCGACATCCAGACCGAGTTCGGGCCCTTGTTCGTGCAACCGGGCGAGCTCGTGGTCATTCAGCGGGGCATCCGGTTCCGGGTGGAGTTGCCCGATGGGCCATCGCGGGGATACATCCTCGAGATCTGGGGCAGTCAGTTCGAGCTGCCCGAGCTGGGCCCGCTGGGGGCGAACGGCCTGGCCAACGCGCGGGACTTCCTCGTGCCCACCGCCAAGTACGAGATCGCGCAGGAACCGTGGGAGATTGTGTACAAGCTCGGCGGGAAGTTCTTCAAAAGCACGCAGAACCACAGTCCGTTCGACGTCGTCGCCTGGCATGGGAACTATGTACGCTTGCCCCTGCCCCAGAAAGGTGTCATGGCACTAATACTTTGCAGGTCCCATACAAATACGACCTGACCAAATTCGTCAACGTCGGCTCCATCTCCGTCGACCACATCGACCCCTCCATTTTCTGTGTGCTGACGGCCAAGTCGCGCGACCTCACCGCTCCCTTGGCGGATGTGCTTATCTTCTCCCCGCGCTGGGACGTCGCATCACGTAGGCCCCTGACCCCTGTCTCTTCATCACCATTCGATCCTAATACTTGGGGCAGACACCTACCGCCCCCCGTACTACCACCGCAACGCCGCCTCAGAACTCATGGGCCTCCTCTACGGCGACTACGGCGGCCGCTCCGACGCCTTCCAGCCGGGCAGCGTCTCGTTCGAATGCGGGAGTGAGTGGCCCTTCTTTCTTTTCCTACCCTTCTATCAGTGTCTACCAACCAAACACATAAGTTAATCAATATAACTAATATGAATGAAGTGGTCCCCCACGGCGTCGCCTACGAAGAATTCCAATCCGCCACCGCCACCGCGCCGCCCGCCATGCAGATCTCCCAGGCCTCCATGGCCTTCATGTTCGAGTCGAGCCGCCCCTTCACGATCACGGAGTTCGCCTGGACGAGTGAGAAGCGCCACGAGCACGAGCCGAAGATGTGGGACGATCTGGTCGATCATTTCTCCGAGCATACGGCGGAGGTCGAGGCGTTGGTGGCTGCTGCTGCGGGGGGTCTGAAGGGGGGGAGGGTTTGATTGCCGGCTGGCGGGCGATGGTCCGGGCTTGGTGGCATTGTACATAGTGAATGAGTGAGTGCTCGGGTTGGGTGGTGTTAGCGACAATGTTGAGCTTTATTTGTTACCTATGCCATAGGTTGTGTAAGGTTGGTTCCAATAGGGGTTCGGGGTGAAGTAATGAGGCAATGGAGTAAACCTCCTGCCGGGTAGCCTCAAAGGGA